TATTAGAATGTATTGGAGCAACATTACCAATTCAATCGTTAATAGAAACAATACTATAATGCGTATTAACATAAAATATTGTTTCAATAAGCGTTCAAACTGTGGTATATTATGTTCCAAGCAGGAAATAATCACACCAGTGTTTTTTAACAACAGACACTCGGGTTATCATTTACAAAAAAATCTTACACAAATCCTAGAAGTGGGTTCCTGTTCACTGATATTGAAATTCAAAATAGTGAGGAAACGATATCCCTAAAGGACACCAAAGAGTGTAATATTGAATATGTTGCTGTATTACGATAAACACTTTTTGGCTCTTCTCTTATGAACATAATATTATTTGTAATATCAATACATCACTGTGCAAACAAACATACTTAGTGACATTTAAATTGTGAATTAAAAATTGTATTTTCGTTTTTTTCTTTTAAAAATACGTGTATAAGTTATCAATGCTGTATGAATTTTACACTTTAAATTTCACAAGGATTGTGGCTATATAACAACTATTTAAGTTGTAAATGTTTTCCTAATAATGAGAGATGTTTCGAAAAGCAGTCTGTTCTGTCAGCAAATTACTTGATAAGTTCTAGTTCCATATTGAACTATAAATTAAATATGATGAGAATGTTAAAACTGTAGTTAATATCTTGTCATTGCATTTTATTTTCTCAGTTTAGATCACTTGTAACACAAATGAGTCAGTCATAAGTAACATTTTCTAATTTTTAGTCCTTTATTCTACGGGACACATAATTCAATATAAAAATAGAACCAATTTCAAATTGCAACCCTTAGATATAACTCATTATGAAAAGTCTTATCTGCTATTGTTATCTGATTACTACATTCCTTCTGTTAAGTTTTCCATTTTAATAAACTACAAGATATTACTTTAAGATATCAGTCAAGTGCTTTTTAATTATTTTGATTTTATGACCCAAAAGAACGGTCTTTTTTCTGATGTTATAAATTGCTTATGTAACTGTTTAACGCACTTAGGGTTTATAAGATTTTCATTTAAAAAATACATTTTCAAAGTTGACATGAACGTATTTACCAATTTCAACGTATTGGATGGAGGAGGGTAAGTAATAATTTTTCACAAAGCATCAAATGTGCTTAATTTTGAATGAAAGTTGTATGATTATAACGAAAATGGAATGTTGTTGTATAATTTGCTTCACTTTTTTTGCAGTTAATGCTTAATTTGTTTATTAATTAAAAATCATATTGAAATAATTAAATGTTTATTAAGACTTTCAGTATTCGGCATTGATGAGATTATTTTTAGATTTTATTTTAAAACAATCATAAAATATAAAAAGGCATACATAAACAAGCTATATAAATTCCACTTACAAATTAATTTATACCATAAATCACATTCAGGTATTGATTTGACTTTACAGAAATGACAATTTCGAGAATGCTTTTAAGACAATAAACACATATATAACAACACATCTTTGATGTTTTTATCATTAAAATTGAAGTCTAAGATTTTGATTCATTCTTTCATGGAGTATCAATGAAATAACCATTCAGCTAAATATATTATTTCTAGAATGCTTTAAAATATATTGTATCATTGTTTGGGGACCTTCCTGTTGAAAATGTGTCAGAGTTTAATCGTAAACATATATATGAACAGTGCGTTTATTTGAGTGCATGTAGTAGTTACCCGCACTCCAGAGCATGCCCGTTGATTGGCTCATTTTTGCTGGAGTTTACTTATTGTGACGGCAAAGAAAGGGAAAACGATAGAAGTATCATATTCAGATGCTCGTTCATTGGTTACTTTTTTCTGGGGATTTATATTTTGACATCAGGGAACATGGTTTTATATTTGACTATGGTTCAAAAGAGAAAGGGCATCGAAACACTCGGCAATCTGATAAATACTCAGCCCCCTCGTGCAAATCAGATAGCCTCGTGTTTCGATGCTCTTTCTATTACTTACAGCATAATAAGCGTTTTATGTAACATAAATAATAGATTATTCATGTCAGCAAAATAAAATATAATCACAAAATTTAATGTCTCAAAGCGAAAACGATTGGTTACTTGTATGAAAATAATTTGCTCACGAAATAGCAATGTTTTATAATCCAAATGTACAAAATGTTACAATTGAATATTAGAAAAACGGACGCCAAAAACGAAAAAATTGAGACTGTTGCAGGCTCAATTTGATCCAGTAAATAAATGCTGTCAGAAGAATTCCTTCAGGAACAATGTAAGCAATAAAATAAAGAGTTGAAAATAGCAGACTTGATTTCATAATACGGTTCTTAAAATAATATTTGATGGCAGCAATTGTCACACCTCCCACGTTGTTCAGGTCTGATCACTTAAATGTACGGAATAAATGACCTTTCCCTAGGATTGAATGTTGTCCATTTCAGGGAATCTGATTTTATTCTTAGACTACATGAACCTGGATTGCATGATATATTTAAGTTGTAGATTGTTCCGTATCCAGAAATGTTTCTTTTCTCACACGTCCTTATGGTTAAAGTCAATGACAAACAATTATAGAAATCTACTTATACAGTAAATAAATTCTCATACATTTGGTTTTGAGATCAGATCATGTATCATTTTTCAAAGCTGTTAACAAACGGAAACAGCGATAATTTCATTGAAAATCAAAACGACAAAACAAAAAGTTAGAAACCTTCAAAGTATTTAGAATAACAACACATATAAAATTATAAGTCAAGATGTTAGTTTGCATTTGTTTCAATATCTCTAATTCGAAAACATTTTTTTCAATCAACGATATCTTTCTATTTTGTTTTCAGTTTTATCAAAATAATCTCATTCTTGTTTTTTATTTAGAAACATATTATTTGGGTTTAGACAATCTATTATTAGTTCCTTGAACTGTTGTTTTTTTTAGATTTATTAAGTAATTAAGTTGCTTGTTTACAGAAAAATGTCACAATTCTTGATAATTGTAAACAAAAGGAGATAAAGAGTACATTTGATTTCTATCTCGAATAATAAATTATTTTCTTTTGGACGCTTTTATGTTAAGTACAAGACAGCATGAAACCCTAGAAAACTATGAGTTGACAAAATTTATGAGAAACAATGGCATGTTTTGTTTTATAAAATCCTTACAGTATTAGGCAAAGTAGTGATATAATGAATATAAAAATCAAATTCTATGCCATTACGACGACATAATACTTCTCCTAACTTGTATTTTTTTCAGTGCATTTTCTCCTGTGAAATGCATGTCATTTGCCGATAAAAATGTTTTAAAACACGTCCTGTCAGCATTATGTAATAACGTAATGGTTATACAAGTTAGGGGAAGTATTATGTCGTCGTAATGGCATCAATCACATAGTATAATGGTAAACTATTATATTGTATTGACAAACGTCACGCTATTTACTCCTAAAAACAATCCGTTTCAATCATACTACATACATGAAAGAAAGCATAAGAAATAATGATAATAGTATACCTATATATATATTTACCTACAATACTGAAGAGTCACATGTTCCTTCATTAAAATTAACAAACATTGGCACGGATAGTTGACATGTTAATTGACAAAACCTTCACATGGATGATTGGATGATATATTATAACAAAACATGGACATGAACAATTTAACAAAATTTTGACTTTGATAATTGAGATATAATTTCCATGTATAACAAAATATGGACATGAAAAAAAATACATACGATATTTAACAAAAGCATGAAGATGGAAAATTGATAAATGATACATTAAATGATTATAACAAGACATTGACATTATGTAATGAAAATCAGTTCATGGTGAATCATATGGTTTATCAAATTGACAAATTCTGTTACAGCAACTGAAAAAAGAATCGTACATTTATATCATCAGTGATATGAACAATTGTTAAACCTTTAAACATATGTTTGAGATGATGATCTGTGTTCATACAGGTTAACATGTAGAAGTAACTGAGCCATCGTCAAGATAGAACTTTTGTCGTAAAAACAATTTCTATTTCATTCTTCTAGACTGTTATTTATAGTTGTAGTAGAAATAACAAGATTTTTAAAAAATTATCGCGAACATTTCAACTCAAAGCTAGTGCTTCAGACCGTAAAACATTTCCAATAATCAAGCTCGACGTAAGTCTGTCACTGGAAAATATAATCAGTATTCGTGTTTTTAGTAAAATATCATCAGACATATATCAGTGATTTAGGTAATTTATTCAACAGTAAATGCAAGTGAATATGTCGCTGGTTGGTTCAGTACAAACCACGAGCTTTAGATCTGTTCATGTGAATAAGTTAATGAGGTATCTTAATGAAGTGGTAACACTCGGTCGTGCCCGGTCGTGCGAGAAGTCACATCAACGCACGCCCTCCACCATTTATATTGTAAAGACCCTATATGACCTTAACAATTTTAGTTTGAGTTATGTACACATTTGTGGATGGAAGGAGTGGGAGGGGGCGTGGACACTACCGTCCATGAACAGGATCACTCAAACCGAACCTGTAACATTCTAAATTAGTCATTTTGGACTTTCTTAAGGGATTCTCCGTTATAACACCCAGATCACCCTTCAAAATAAAGAAATAAATAAAATGAAATAAAACAATAATATCAAATATAGTTGACAGTAAAATATCTAAAAAAAGTAAAACAAATCTTTTCGATTAACTAGCTCTTATAAACAAAATAAATATTTACCCTACTATTTCTGTCTGAAAACAAAGTACAATATTTTTAATATACTGGTAATAACGCTAAATTGTGATAGAAACCCGTCTATACGTGAACACTAGTTTCATAATGTTATATCAACAAAAACTCTCTAAAATCTCAAGTGCTTTGCAATTACTGTCGTCGTATAAATAATTGATAATACAGAATGCATTAACATTCACGTATTTGTGTCATTTGTATACTTTAATGCACACATTACACTGTATCATACCACAGATTATGGTAGTTTGACTTATAAATAAGGCGTTTTTACCATGATAATATTAACATTAATTTCTAAAATTATTCTCCTTGACTTTAGTAAAGCCTTTGATAAAGTAAATCATCGTAAACTTCTCCTTACCCTCCAAGAAAACGGTGTCTCCACACAAATTCTCAATTGGACACGTTCCTTCCTGATAGGTCGGAGCCAAACTGTTGTACTGGAAGATGAACACTCTACAGAAGTCCCTGTAAACTCTGGTGTCCCCCAAGGCTCCGTCCTCGGCCCACTCTGCTTCCTGATCTACATTAATGAACTTCCATCTTCTGTCTCCAAGTCCCAAATTCGCCTCTTTGCTGATGACACTGTGGTTTACATTACTATAAACTCGTCTTCAGACTCACAATCCCTCCAGGAGGATCTTGATAAGATGCAAATATGGGAAAGGGAGTGGGACATGGAATTCAACCCTCAAAATGTCAAGTCCTTCACATCACTAAAAACAAAAAAGTCATCAACAACAAGTACTTCCTTCATGGCCAAGCTTTAACATCAGTTCCTAGCTCAAAATACCTTGGCCTTGACTTGTCCACAGACCTGAACTACAACACACATATCTCAAGAATTACATCAAATGCAAACAAAACCCTAGGATTCATAAAACGAAATATCAATACAAAAAATGAAAAAGTAAAACAACTAGCTTATAAATCCCTAGTAAGACCCCAGTTAGAATACGCATCAACTGTTTGGAGCCCCTACACACAATCAAACATCCAAAAAATAGAGAAAGTCCAAAGACGAGCGATACGCTGGGTAAAACAGGATTACTCCCCTTTGTCATCAGTTACAGCCATGCAGAAAGATCTTGGCTGGCGTTCTCTCGAGCATCGCAGACTAGACTTTAGACTTATTATGTTTTTTAAAATTTACCATAACCTAGTAGCCATTAGCCTTCCCACCTACATTAAAACTCCATCTAGGCTTACTAGACATATGCATCCCCTCTCTCTTAGGAAAATACAGGTTACATCAGACTACCATAAGTTCTCCTTCTTCCCCACTGTATCACACTTTGGAACCAGCTCCCAAGGAACATTGTCACCCTGCCTGATCTAGATCAATACAAACAGGCAGTGGTTAAGATACAGTATTAGTTGACTTGTTGTGTTTTTACTTTTAAATCTTTCTTTCACCCTTACTAACAAAAATATTTTAACAATGACTAGAAGTTTTCAATGTCTCTCACTGTCCTGATCATGTTCATTTTCAGGTTTTTACTTTCTCTCACACCTTTTACTAACACACCGACGCGCACAATTTCCTGCCTATAACACTCGCGAGAGGGGTTGGCAGTATTCAGAGATAGATAGATAGATAAAATGCAGTATATTTTGATAAAATGTTGTGATTAATTTTTGAGTCAATAAAGTCTTGATCTGCTGTAAGAATCATATGTCACTGTAAAAGAATTTTTGTCACTGTAAAAGTATATTTCTGCTTAAGGCTTGACCAATTGCCAGAATTTTATTGCATTGTAAATTGTATTGCTAGAAAACGTAAAATTTATAGTTAATGCTGTTTATACCTGAAATGAGTAAATAATTGCAAACGGATTTTGAAAGACTATGAATGCAGTAAAATGATGAAAACGATATGCATATTAAACAAAACATATCAAGGACATAAAGGCGTTTATCTGATCGCCATTACAGAAGGGCAATTATGAACTGATAAATCTACAAATGATTGAAGTCACATGTAAGGATATGCTTAACGATTTTGTCATTTTGTCAAACAGATGTAATATTTATTCAAAGATGGAATTTGTATGTAAAAATTATCGATTCAGTAATGGAAATTGTTTCTTTTTTTTTCTTTCAAAAAATGGGCAAAGAGTTTAAAAATCATTTTTCTCATGAGTGTTTTTTGTTTGAATAGTACTTAACATTCATTTCCTTCTGTAAAGAAATTAACAACAGATAATAGTTTCATGTTTTTTATTTTATTGCGGTCGATAAAGAAGCGTATGCTCTTAACACGAGGCATTTTGTATGAAATATGATAAACAAGATCAACAAGGAAAGGCGGCGTTCAATGAACGCAACCCCCATATGACCCAGCAACAAGAACCAACGGCAAGAAGCCCAGGCGGACCCCGAACAAAAACAGGACAGGGCAAAGACAGAGCACGGACAGGCTTTTACAACACGATTTTTCACAACTACTAATTTGTCAAAATGTTACACAGAACGTAGGGCAATATATCGAATGTTTATTTACACTTTGATAATTATCTTGCTTTTTGTCCTTTTCAAGCATTACACGTTCACATTTAGTGAAATAAACAATACAAATATAATTTGAAAATAGGATTTTCTTTTCGATTTGAAGCTTTTATCTTAATTTTTGGAATAATGCGTATTTTGTTTTTATTTCTTGTTATTGACTCAAGTTATTCGGGTGTATTTTTCTTGAACACTTTTTCTGGATGCAGAAAATGATTCTAGTAACCGTAGTCTGGTTTGTTACCGTAGTCTGGTTTATTTGTTTCTTGATTATTATGTCTACATATCAGAAACTTTATTCATCTAAACATTCTAAACAGTGTGACTTGAAATTGCTTTCATAACCGTCAGTGTAATAGTAATTGATTGCGTTTTTGTCCTATTTGACCTTTTTCCCCCTAATAGCTGAGAACGATAAACGTCTAAGATAGATAGATTTATTTCGGCAAAGGAAGCATATACATAGTTGACAATATAACATAGGATAAAATAATGAGCATTATTAAATACTATATCACATACGAGTAAAACTATGACATGCTTACCAAAACCAAGGATAACACAAAAAAGGGCAAAAAGCTCTTATTTCCATTGTGGTCCTTTGTATTGGCGGCATGACATAGAGAGGCAAACCTTAATATGCACACTGGCCATAGCTTTCGCAGAAGCGGTGGTTCTACCGGTGCGGCGATGGAGAATTCGTCGCAGAAGCGGTGGAAAAACATGGCTGTCGGATAGTTTTTTGCTGGTGTCGGTAAGTTTATGACTTATTTGTACGTTATGTTTTTATGTTTTACTGATAACACCTAGTGAGACTGGAGCCCACATATGTACTCTTCCAACTTATTACACGCATGGGGTGCAAATCATGACCAGTTATGCAAACACTTCTGTACAGTTTGACGAGGGGACGCCACTTTTGCCTAATTTTGTTTATAACACTACAAATGTACTCAAAACTACCCCTAGATACACTGGCATCGCATCGTATGTATGATAATTATACAAAACAACCATATTTTGGAACTTTTGGAAATTGATATTACCATTTTCATAAAAGAATTGACAAAAATTGATTACAACGCAGACGGCGGTGGATTCGACTGCAACGCAGTGCGGTGGGTCCGATATCATTTATGTCTTTTTTTAACGTTAAAGTCACCGACCCTTAGGAGTTGAGCTCCAAACACATTAAAATACAAATGAAATATATAATTATTTGTTAATCCTAATACATATAGTTGTTATATATATCAATGAAAGTAAATATACACTTTTTTGCATCATGTACCTTATCAATATGTTTTTATAAAACAATCCCTGTTTTAGATACTAGTTTAACATATTGGGGTGTATGTTAACTATGTAGTGCTTAAATGGTAATTTTAACTTATAAATTGAATTAAAAAATACTTAAAGTTTGTAATTTCTTTTCAAACTATGCATTCATTTAAGTAATAAAATGTCTTGATAAATTGAATCCCAGTTTGGACACTAGTTCAACATATTGAAGTATATGTTAACTATGTATTGCTTAAATGTTAATTATAGCTTATACTCGTATATTGAATTTAATTTATCAATTTAACAAATCAAAATGTCTTTGTAGTAGTCATCATTAACTATGTATTACTGACACATTAATCATAACTTTATTTTGAACTTTATTTTTACTTATGAACCGTTTGTGATAAAATTTTAATACATTGATAAGATGAGATGAGATGAGATAAGATAAGATCTGTTGATAGTGACACTAATTTTAGTTTTGTTGCTTTATCTATTTTTTTATTTTATTTATTTCATTTTTTTAATTTAACTTTACATGTTAACATTAAATTATATCAAATTTTTATTTACCGTGTACAAAGCCATAAATAGGCTGCATGTAATATAAAAAATTATAGAATGCATTTTGAAATAAAATATTACAAAATACCTGACAAAAAAGGGTAGACGAAAATGTTGTTTATTGGCCTATGAGCGAATTGCACATGCACGCGTTCAAATTATCGTATATTTTTGTTTGTATATTGTAATTGTAATCTTTAAGTCACAATTTAAATTGTCGCTCTTTCGTTTTCGTTGCTTTTCACGGTCTGTCGTTCCTCCTTTGGTTGGACAGTTTGGTGGTTTTTGTTGTCCAACTTTGTGTCATCTATTGTAACGTTTGCTACAATTGTTTTCTATATGAAAGCGTATTTGAAGTTTCTGGTTAATCTTTTGATTATATCATAATCTATTCTTAGACAATAAAGACGTCTGGCTCTGCCAGACATTATCAATCAAATTTCTATGTTTGTATTTTAACTCTACTGAGGATGACACAAATTAACAAGGAGGAACATGTACCGTGGTAAAAGTAAAACATAAATAAATTTCAAACTTTTCATGAAAATAAACATGAATATTGAGGCGTGCTGCTTTAAAATCCAAATAATTGTATATTTATTTATTCTAGCACATATACTTATCATATATTTCAATAAAACTTACTTATATACCGTTTTGAAGAAAAAGTAAATATTTATACGTCAAAATATACACAAGATAAAAAAATGTGTTAGAAAAAATTCGCACATCCTTCAAATCACCTTGCAATTGATTATATTTCCAATATTTTCACATTATTCTTTTGTCAACAGGCGACACGAGTCATCTATTAAACATATATTACTGGTACTTATTATATATTTTCATCATATTTTTCTTTTTCAACAATATCAAACTTTATCTTCAATATACAAACCCACTATGTGAAAAAATTTAAACTATCGCCGTTTTATTTATTTACAAAGTATTTCAACAAATTCAAGCGTGACACTCAGCTCTGTCGTATTTAAATGCGGTGCGCTATGAATGTGAGAACCCGCATTATCCCGAATGACTCCGATTATAGCAAGGCTGGTTCAAAGCGCATTTATATGCAGCATATCTGAGAGTCGTTTTGTTTTCAAAAAAGCGTATAATACTTTCATTGATATATATAACAACTATTAGGATTAACAAATATATATTTCATTTGTATTTTAAGGTGTTTGGAGCTCAACTCCTAAGTGTCGGTGACTTTAACGTTAAAAAAAGACATAAATGATATCGGGCCCACCGCACTGCGTTGCAGTCGAATCCACCGCCGTCTGCGTTGTAATCATTTTTTGTCAATTCTTTTATGAAAATGCTAATATCAATTTCCAAAAGTTCCAAAATATGGTTGTTTTGTATAATTATCATACATACGATGCGATGCCAGTGTATCTAGGGG